ACGACATCAGCTCTTGCTTCTGTCGTGCAGCTGAATGCAACGACAGCTGTTGCTGTTGTTGCTTTGTTGCTGAACACATCGACAGCTGTCGTTGCTGTCCCTCTGTGTTCGTTTGCCTCTGCTTTCAGAGGCTTGTTTGACTGTACAGCGCGTTGTTAACAGTAGGGCGAAGCGTGCTGTGTTGCTTGGACAGACGCAGCCGCACAAACATATATATTTCCTCTCAGTGTTTGGCTTTTTGTGCTGTCGCAGTGAATGTTAGTTGAATTCGTCTTTGTGAGGAGGAGCGATTACTGCTCGCTGTTGTTCACTCTAGGCCGTTTAAAGTAGTAGTGTCAACCCCAACAGTTGTTTCAAGCACTAGTTCTTGTGTTAATACACCACACCACTAGGAAACAGGGTATTAATAAAAGTATGCACCTGAATGATGCGGTGTATTTACAACGCAAGCAGGGAGTCACCTTCTGTTCGTTGTATTGCGGATTTTCGCTGCACGTTCAAATTATATTAATAGGTTGCCTTGCCGCAAGGACCAGGAGCAGCTGCAGTAGCAAGCAACAGCACCGTCCAGCAGAAGCTGCAGCTCCAGTAGCCAGCAACAGCAGCACAAGACTGCAACAAGGAGCAGAATCGAGCAGCAGCGAATAACAGCAAGTATCAGCAGCGACAAGCAGCAGCAGCAAGCAGCTGGAAGAAGCAGCAGCTGATGAATTCACTAGCTGAACTGCTTGGCGACAGTACGGAGACCAGAGGTTCAGTCAGAGCATCCAGCAGAATATTAAAACTGATTGATTCGAAACATATAATTACTGGGCTGCAATAAGAAATTCAACTACGAATTTGGCTTAGCAAGTTGTGTCTCGAGTGTATGTCCAGTTCAACTCACTTGAAACGCTCCACTTGTTCAGCTCCCATTGGATTGCGTTTCAGTTTCCCGGCATAAACATTCTTATTATTGTCGTATTTCTGCTGCACAAAGAGAAAATATAAGCAGATAAACAGATGCTGCAGCAACCGTGTGTGAGGCTGGAGCCGTCCTCAAGGTGGGTGTGTTATATGGCGAGCCGCCCCCGTTGGTCTGATGGTCTCCGTACAAATAAATAATTAAAACAAATAGTAAACAGCAAACCAAGCAACAAAACAATATATCAAAGTTCAGTACAACTAAAGCTGGTAATAGAACAAACCGATTAGAGCTTGTCGTAATGAAAACAAACATAAGCATACGACAGAGTTTTTCACTATTGAAATAAACAATAAAGGGAATAACGAAGCAAACAAATAAAAGTTTATTGCAACATTTAATCATTGGCCTTGTCCTAGCAATTAACAGTAGCAGGCCGATGAGCAGCTGGGGGCCTCGTTAAACCCCTCAGTCGGCTGCGCTGCTCTTTACGTGTTCTGCGCACTACAACTTCAAGTTTTATTTCTCTTAGAGTTTATATAATTAAATAATTTATTTTATTTTTACTGTCTTTACCTGCTGTAGTCAGACTGGCGCGAGACACTGCCGCAGCGGCAGTACCAGCAACGCGGCCCCACACTTATCTCTGCAATGTCTCGGCGTTCAGAAATATAATTTTGTTCCCTCTTTGTCTCCGCCGACTTCGCCTTCAACTCCTCTAAGCCTGTTAGGTGCTGCATTTTGACGGCTGCTGCAGCGCTTGCTGCAGCAGCAGCTGGCATTGTTCCTGGCCGCTCCTGTTGTCTGTTCCCGTGGAAGCAGCAGCAACCGCAACCGCAAACACAGCAGCAGCAGCAGGAGCAGGAGCTGCTGTAGTAGCAGCAGCATGTGACTGGAGCG